TGTCTGGACTGGCATAAAGGAAGCCGGTGGACTAGAGCTAAAGCTGCCTGTAGCAGATGAGAAATGAATCTCTGTTATTGTAAATCGCTGAGCTTTAGGTGGTATATCTCAGCAGAATGGGTCAAAAGCTGACTGATACACTGTGCTAGTATCATTACTTTTTGGTGAACACCAGTGAGCCCTACCTTTATCTGTCCAAATCTTGGTTTGGGAGATTTTTTCTAACACCTTGTGCCATCACACACCTTGGAACCTGAAAGAATGAAAATTAAATTCAGAGACTCAAGCCCAGGAATACAGGTCTTGGAAGATTAATGCAAAAATATGCAACAAAAATTACAGTTAAACAATTACTAAGCTCCGTCATTTTCAAAACTCGGCACACACAAGTCTGTCCTTGTGGACCTGGATGGGTAAGGAGTGACTCCGCCAGCTCCTCCACGTGCCGGCCACACACTCCCGCGCCCCCTTCCACCCCCAGACCCAGAATTGAGCGCTGTGTCTTTAAGGGGGACGCGGGGAGGCTGCAGCACAGGACAAAATGTCTGCGAGGATCCCGGATCGGCTCAGCGAGCCCAGACTCTCAGCCTGTCGCTCGCCCCTGCCGCGCGTCGCGGGTGATGGGGTGAGTGTGGGCGCGGGACTCGGCAGCGCGCGCAGAGCGCGCACAGGGGCTTCCAGCGGCTGAGGCCGGGTCGGGGGCTGGAAGTGGCCGCGGTGGGGGTCGGTGAGGTGAGCCGGGGGCGGCCGGGGCCCCGGGTCCGCAGGTGAGGCGCAGCCCGCCGCGGCGCAGCCTATTGTTGTTACCCGCTGGCTCGTGTTGGGGAGGGGGGGGCGGGGGGGGGCAGCGGGGGGTGGACAAGGGCCTCGCAGAGATGCGGGGTTCTGCGTAAAGGCCCATTTCATTTCCTTCAGCACCCCATTTTTGCTCCTTCTCTACAGTCTCCCTAAAAAAAAGTTATGTGGGAATATCGAGAAGCATCCGCTTGCCTTTTTTTTTAAGTTGCCTTACTGCAGACCCTAAGTCCGACTTCTAACAGTGCAAGGGTGCCCTGGGGTGTGCTTTCTTTACTTGAGACCTCAATGTTTTTTGCACGTTGGGGAATAACCCAATGCAAGCCAGACGCTCAAAGAAGAATCACTAGCCCCACCTCCGTGGTGCTCAGACAAAAGAATTTTCTGATCTGTTCGTAGTGTGCTGGAGCAGCTTGCTGGAGCAGCTTGCTGGAATTAATTACACTGACTAAATACCTGAAGCTTACCAAGCTAAGTTATTTTTCCCTCCTTGAAATAAAAAAATAAATATCTGCCACCATTGGAACTTCTAATAAGCCAAGATAGAGTGTTTCAGAGAAACTGCTGTAGCAATAGTTTAATAAATTGACATAATTAGGGTACTCATTTTCTGGACTTTTCATTAATGTATTACATGTACACTGACAATAAAAGGCAACTGACAATAAAAGATACTTAGCAATAAGTACAAAAAAAGGGCAAAAGCCAAACCCAAGTAATTCACAATTTAAAAAACTCTTTGTGGGCAACTTTAAATCACTCGATTTCATATTAAATTATGCATTTTACAAGATAAAATGAATTAACACACTTCTTTCTAAGAACATACGTATCAAAGTAATGTAGACCTGAAACAAAGGTGACCTGTAAGTCAGAACACTTTACAATGGGAATTTTAAAAAACACATCAGTGGAGAGATTTCTTCTGAGCCTTTTAGCTCACTGCAGAGTTATCTAAGAGTTTGGCTTATCACAATTAAAGACTACCTCTGATTCATCAGATAATTAGCTGTAGATGCAGTAAATTTTTTACAGCCCACGTGTAACCTTTTTTCTAAATATTTTTCATACTTGCCCCTTTATTCTCTGACCCAGGTATCCACATTTTCCACTTAGAAGGCATTTTTACTAACCTTTTAACTTCATCTAAGCCTCCAACCTGGTGTTTCCAGATGAATATTACTTGTCTGGATCTGTTTGTAAATAGACTGACACATATCAGTAAACTACTATTTTAACAGAGACAGACAGGTAAGAGATGAATGGATTCCTTGATGCTTGGTTTCCTTGATGCTTCAGTTGTCAAGGCTAATTATTTGTTTTAATTATTATGTTTTAGTTTGATTAAAGTTACTGGTGGATGGAATAAATCGAAATGTTTTTAGTGTTGCTACACAAGTCTGTGTGGACTTCACATTAGTGTGACTCTCTCACCTAAGGTCCAAGCTCAACTATACATAGTCCACCTGAAGTGGTCAACCTTGACAATAAAGAACAAATAAAGTTCTAATTCATTTGTTATTTATTTTTGAGAACTCTGGCCTTTAGCTGCCTAACATTTTGTATGTATACAAGCCTAAGTTTAAAATAATAAAATTAACTTTCTTGGGTGGTTTATAGGATGATTCTCAATGTTACAGTCAGAGTTACACAAATTGTTCATCCAGATTTTAATCTCTTCTTTTATCCTCTATGTTGCTATTCAGGGATATCATATGAGGAATCTGGGTTTTAATCTGATAGGTTATTAGAAGACTAGAATTTCTTGGGCCTCCCCGGTGGCGCAGCGGTTGAGCGCTGGGTTGCGAAGCTGCCTGAAGCCTCCGCGGCTCTAGTTCGATCCTCGGCTGCTCCCCAGCCACCGAAGGAGGGTCCCGCATGGTGCGCAGACCTCTCCTGCCGCCCGCTGCTCCCCTCAGCAGTGTACTTCGGTCCTTCTGCCTGCTCTGCTCCCCGCTCTGGCTCTGGTGAATTCTCTCACCCTCCCGCACTTCTGACTGTACCCAGTGCTTGTATAAATAAATAAATCTTTAAAAAAAAAAAAAAAAAAAAAAAACTTCCTTTAAAAAAAAAAAAAAAAGAAGACTAGAATTTCTTCAGGAGAGTTCAGAGGTGTGGTACCAACAAAAGTGTTCTCCCCTGTTTCACAAAGTAGTTAAAAATCATCTTCATTTCTGCCCGCCCCTTGAAACTAGACTGCAAAATTTCCACTGTTAAATTAATTTCCTGCTAGTAATGCTTTTATTTAGCTGCAAGAAATGTTATTTTAAAATATGAGCTTGGAAGCCTAGTTTACGACTCAAGCATGAGACATTTATTTGTGAGTTAGCACTGGCAGTAATGTGTTTTTGTGAATTTTTGTATTGTGAGGGCAGTGGGGAAGGGAAAAGCTGCTGAAGAATGACTGTTGCGCACACAAATGTCTGAATTAGGGCTCCTCGGCCAAGCCCTTCTCACTCTCACAAGTAGACACTGCTCTGGCCTTTACTATTATTAGAATTATTGGTGGCAGCATCTCTCACCATCAGTTGGTGGGCTTCTGCGGGGCAGGGACCATGTACTCCCCTTGGCATCCTGGGCAACAGGCACGTACCTGACCGTGAACTGTGCACTGGAGTGTTTGAATGAGAGTGAATGGAGTGACTGGTATAAGCAAAAGGATCACATTCATTGAGCTTTTCTGATAGTTTTAAAATTATTTAAGGGAAAATGAAGCGGTCTCTTATTTTTCACTTTTATCTTGTTAGCTAAACATCAGTGAATGGGTATGTGGTTTTGTTGGGTACCTGGTAAGGAAAAAATGTATATATCATAGGACTCTAGCTAATCATTGTCTTCTACGTGAAGGTCAGTTTGGAAAAGTGAAAATAAATTTCACCTGTTTGGGGAGGTGGAACTGTTATTCTTTCTCTCCCTATAATTTCTGTATTCAAAAATCCCCTTAAGGGCCTCCCAGTGGCACAGCTGGTTGAGCGTAGCGCTGTGAAGCTGACCACAGCCTCTGCAATGCGGGTTCAATTCCCAGCCGGCCAGGGAGATTTCCACATGGCGTGGCAGACCTCTCCTGTCTCGCCCACTGCTCCCCTCAGCAGTGCTTTCAGTCCCTCTGCCTGTTCTGCTCCCCACTCTGTCTCTGGTGAATCCTTTCACCCTCCCGTGCCTCTGACCTGTACCCCAATTCTTGTATAAAAAAAAATAAATAAATCTTTAAAAAAAGACCTTAATTTTTCAAACTTAAACTATGTATTGCATAATAGAATGTCAAAGAGAAAACTAACACTGCTTTTTAGCCACTAAGATCTTAATATGAGCAGTAAATACTGGTAGCTTTTTGCTCAGGCCTTGAATTTATAAAGCACTGCAGAGTCCACTAGTAAGATCATTTGCATTATCTAATTTCAGCCACCAATTCAGAGACAGATGATCTTGTCATCTCCCTTGACAGATGAGCAGATGGAGACTCAAGTGAGCTAGGACCAAGAAATGTAGAGTGGGACCCACCCCATAAAAGGTAACATCCCCTGAGTACCTGGCCTATACCAGGGAGATGAGTGAAGTGTCTGCTCTCCCATCACATCAATCTCCTATGGAGGTAGAATCTCCTTTTGGTCAGGGAACAGTGAAAAATCCCATACTGAGCAACCCCACAGTGGGTTCCCTCCACGGCCAGATGGTGGCAGACTGTGTGCACAAGATCTCTGAGCAGCCAGTCCATGGGCTTTGCCACCAGACTGTCTGCTCCAGCCTCCATAGTTAAGATTGCCTAGCACCGCCTGAGTTCATGTGCCTGAGGAATGTTTTATACCAATTATTTTTCAGTTATGTATAGACCTAAGTGATATACTCTACCTAAATGTAGATGCAAGATCATATGCATGCTTTCTTAAGACCTTTTTTTTCTTTTCATTTTTCACCCTCCTATCACATTAGCTACAGCCTCCTCAACCCATAGTTTGTGTGTGTGTGTGTTTGTGTGCACATGCGCTATATAGCTCTCTGTATTATAAACTTTTCTACATTTTGCTTTCTTCCTTGAGTAGTTCCTTCAGCAGTCTCTTTAGATCATCTGACAGAACTCCAATCTATCCTTTTTAATGAGTGCATATACATAATTTACCCAGCCATTCTCCTGCTGATAGGCATTCCTTCGTGCCCAGTCTCTTGGCCATTCTAAATTAGCACTGTAATAAACACCCCTAATACATATAACTTTACATATTGCAAATACAACTTCTTTTACAGAATAGATTCCCAGAAATCTCTGATTGCCTATTTTTAATTAATACATTGCCAGAATGCTTTCCTAAAAGCTTTCATAACCCTCCTAGTAAAGCATGAGTAATACATCCCTTTTTCTGACTCCCTTTTAGCTTTAGTTGGCTGATCTTTATATTTTTGTTACCAAGATGGATGTAAAACGAGACCTCATTGTTACTTCAACAGCACTTTCTGTACATAAATGATACTGTGTCTATTCACAAATTTCCGGCCATTTGATTTTGCTCTTAGGTCATCTGGCTACTCATATTTTTTGCCCATTTTCCATTTGGGCTGTTGGTCTTTTTCTTGTCAGTCTGTAAGATCTCTGTGTATTCGGGTTATGGCTGAAGAGTGTAAAACTCTCTGAGCCAAGAAGGCTAAAAGAAGGCTAACTAGGCGGCTTCTCTCCCACCACACTGGAGGGGCAATGTAAATGAGCTTGGGGGTATGTTTAGCAGAACTGGGTAGGCTGTTATGCCCCGCAGCCACAGACTGCTAGTCTCGCTGTAGATAGTGAATCTGAACAGAAGACTGTAAATGGAGCCAGACTGCAGCTGTGTGTGGAGGACTGAGAAGGTGAGGCAGTTGCGTACCGTGCTGCCTTCCACTGGTTAAGACCTCCAAGAGCGAAGGCCTGCCAAAGCAGAGGATGTCCCTCTGCCGCCCTCAGAGGGGCAGCACTGTGCTGGCCAACAACTGTAGTGCTGCCTGTCCCTGGCGCAGATGAGGCCTTCCACCAATTCTAAAGGATTCAGACATCAGAATCAGAGCTTCTCACCCTTCTTTCCACGTTAACACTTCTAAGAGATGGCATCCATGTATGTGCCTCTTACTAGGACATTCCAGATTTGAAGAAACCAGAGACATCTTACAGGGAGGTAAAGCATGACAGTTATTGTCACCTTTGGCACTTTTACAAGAACATCAGTAATGATTATTCTCAGATTGTGACACAGGTAAGAGAGTCTTTAGGTTTTGTGCAATTTTTAATACCCAACTCAAGAATGCAAGGCCAAACTCTTGATATTATGCAAAAACTTTAAATCTCTTCTGATTTAGAAAACAGAGGTTCATTATATTATTCTCACCATGCTTGTGTATATTCAGTAATAAAAAAAGGGACCTCTGGAAAGATAAGATTCAAATGTAGAAGGAAATAAAATTCCATTTTAAAAAAAGTAAGTGTAGAAAATAATTTTAGTTAAAGTTTGGCCACAAAAAATATTTTTAAGACCAAAACCATTACAAGTTATTCTTAAAGGTGCTCTGAAACTCCCCTCTTCATCCCACCACTACCTACTTTGGGGACTTTAGCAACTTAATATACCCATAGGGGTAAATCTAGCCTTTATTTTATAAAGACCTTTTCTACTAATTGTCGTTATGAGTAATCATATCCAAATCAATGCATACTGTATCAGAAGATATGTACCTAGCTATTTCCTTTGTTAGAAAACAACTGGCATTTGTCTTTTTTGATAATTCTGGTAAATTTACTTTTTGTTTAATGTGAGAGATGAAGTTGAATGTCCTGCCTGATCCTGAGTGGACTTGCTTGATGGGAAAAACAGGATGAGGTTTAGAAAACTAGAATGCATCTGAAACAAGACTTACCAATTGAATTAAAAGCTCACACTAAATGCTGTTGTAATTATTATAACAACTTATTTTTCCTGTTGTTTATCTTCATTCATTCCAAGTGACATTAGTGAGATTCTGGAACTTTGTCCTCTCCACTGCTACTGGTTCAAAACTTGACAGTATGAGTGGACACTGGTTGTCTTCATTGTGCATCTTCCCTCCATCTTGCCTTGATTTTCCCCTTGAAATAAATTCTCAGAAGAGCTCCAAGAGTCTGTCATATGTTCTCTTATTTTAAAGTTTCAAAGCAAACTTGCCTAGAATCACACATTTGCTCCTTTTTGAAGTTATTTCCCAAGGACAAACTTTACCTTTGTCTGTCACCCCTTGTTTGATAGGGTCCTGCAATGGCCAGTTGTTTTCCTAATAAAGAAGAATTTTGTTGCTTTATACTGATCCCTTTAACACGTACTGTATTGAGTAAAGAAAGAAGCTATTACTCCTCTTTATTTTTCTAACTTAACGAAAAGTATTGACTAAGCTTTGTCAATGTGGCTGGGATGAGCAATACAGAAAACTAGTTTTATTTGTTTTATGACTCAAGCACCTATGAGAAGATCACAAAAAATGAACACCAAAAAGGACAGGTGCTAGTCAGTATTGCTAGTACCTATTTTAAGGCTGTTTGATTGAATTTCTCTTACTCGACTGCCTGTCCTCTGAATGTACTCCTAGTACTGCTGATGGTTCTTCAGAACTCAGGAGTCACACTGCAGTGTCTCTACCAGAGCACTAGGGTTGGCTGCATACCCTGAAGCAATGACAGGGACCCGATGGCCGTCATGACATGGCCCACCATCTAATTTAAAGGTAAAAGTTTAGACAGCTGCTTTGTATATTGCTATTTCCTAAATTAAAAAAAAAAAATTAATGGCCTGTACTGCCAGTTTTCTCATTAACACATTGTTTTTAAAACAAAAAGATTTTCATCTTGAAAAAAGTTCCCTCATTGAAAGAAAGCTTGTCCTGCTGCTCCTAAAGTAAAGAAACCAGTTTTTCACTCCTGAAGCTTTACTTTCTGCTTGTTGTTCTGCCACGTTAAGGGAATTCATGATTCGTTCTTATTCCGAGAGAAATGACAGTAACTCTTTTTTTAAGGAGAGCAAAGAGTAGGTAAAATTGATTTATCTACACGGCGCTTACTTAGCTAGTTCTTCCCATCTAAGAGAATGTGTCTTCCCATTTTTAGCAAAGCACTTGCTAACTGGGGAACCATCTGATTTTGAAGAGAATTCCCAGTTAAGAAAAGAAAGCCTAGACATTCTAGACTTTCTCCGCCCCCCCCCACCCCGAAGAATAAACAGTAAATACTGAAAAAGAAACTCAGGCACCTTATCCAAACTAACCATTGGATTTTTATCTGTTATCAAAGGAAGGTGAGGTTTCCTCTTGACCTACAGTCACGGAAGTTGCGCGTCTGAACTAAATTCTCAGCTGAGCACGGCGTGCGCATGTGTGTACACGTAACCCTGTCCTTACCTCTGCAGACGCCGCAGACAGAATGAGGAGTGACGAGCTGGCCGTGACCATGGACGAGACCCGCGGGCCGGAAGACGCTGCGGCTCTGGGCGGCCCGGGCGCGGGGCTGGCGCCGGCGCCTTCCGGCCGCCTGGGGGCGCCATACTCCGAGGCCTGGGGCTACTTTCACCTGGCGCCCGCGCGCCCGGGACACGCGGCGGGCCCCTGGGCCACCTGTCGGCTCTGCGGCGAGCAGGTGAGCCGCGGCCCGGGCTTCCACGCGGGCACGCCGGCACTGTGGAAGCACCTGAGGAGCGCGCACGGGCGGGAGCTGGAGAAGAGCGCCGCCCGCCGCTCGCCGCCCGCCGGCCCCTGCCCGCCGCCGCCGGCCCCCGGCCCCGCCGCGGCCGCGGAGGGAGACTGGGCGCGCCTGCTGGAGCAGATGCGCGCCCTGGCCGTGCGCGGGAGCCTGCGCGAGCGCGAGCTGGCGCGACGCGAGGCGGCGGTGGAGCAGGGCGAGCGCGCCCTGGAGCGCAGGCGGAGGGCCCTGCAGGAGGGGGAGCGCGCGGTGGCCCAGGCCCGGCGGGAGCTGCAGGCCGAGAGGGAAGCGCTGCAGGCGCGGCTGCGGGAAGTGAGCCGCCGCGAAGGCGCCTTGGCCTTGGCGCTTGCCCCGCAGCAGACTCCGCTTAAAGAGGAGCCGGACGCGGAGAGGGATGGCTGCATCATCACGAAGGTCCTCCTGTAGGCTTCTGCACCCTGGTCCGTGTCTTCACCATCACCTGGGAGCAGAGTCTCGGGCCTCCTGCCGCCTCGCGCCATCAGGCTCTCCAAGTGCGAGGCTTCCAGCAGCTCTTGGGAAGCAAGAGTAGAACCCAAATTACGCTCTGGAGTTCGGGGCGCTTGGAGCGCAGGCTCCAGTGACTGTAGGCTTTCCGTGGGCATCAGTGTCCCAGGTGGCTTTCCTCTGCCTTTGAGAATGAGAGTCCCGGCAGCCTGTCAACTAGATCTCATGGAGCCATAGCCCCTTATTCTGTGACTTTTAGAAGCTTCCTTATCCAGGGAGACTGGCACATCACGTGGCCATATACCAGCCCGGGCAGCCACGAAAATGAGGATAAAGCATTTTACCCTAAAAGAGAAGTTTACTCATTTCCTAATGAATGTTTGTCCAGTGCCAGGTTCCAAAAAGGGGACCGACATTCATTAGTTTCATGACAGCTTTTTACCCGTTATCCGTGCTTCATCAGGGCAGCCTGGGAGTACCCCTCTGTTGGCGCCCTTCCCGGGCTTGCCCAAGTGCACCCTTTCTTACCTCAGCCATGTTCTTTCCCACTTCAGACCCGGTGGCAGCTGTCGTGACACTTTCCTGTCTCACGCCTCTTGTAGCAGGACTAACAGTATGTGACCTCATCCCCCTGTTGCTAGGAGTGGTGCTTCCTTTCACATGTGTCTCTACAGTCCTTACTTCTAGGCATCCCTCCCATCCTTGGCCAACTTTTCATCTCTGTTCTCACCCATTCCTCTTCCACCTTTACTGGGCACTTCCTCTATTAATGTACCTCTTTTTCTGGCTCATTCCCTCCCTTTTCCCAGACACTCTCAGTAAAATTCAGTCCTCCTTGTACTGAAAAGACAGACTCCCCCAGCCCAGAAGCTGCTCACTGACAACCACCCAAGAAGAGCCTAGTTTGTACTTTCTCCTTATTCTTTATCCTGCATTCCATGGCCAGCAGGTCACACTACACTGGTTTCTAAGAAGCCACCACAGTCTCCCAATGGCCAAAGATGGTGATTTATTTTCAGCCTTCATTATGCTTAATTTCTCCTCTTTTGAAATTTCTCATTTGGTAGACAGAACTTACCTTTCCTCCAAAGAACCCCTTTTCCTGGTAGACTGGTTCCCAATTTTTCTTCAGGTTCTTTTTTCCCTCACTTTTTATTGAAAACTTTCAAGCATTCAGAAAAAGTTCAAAGGCAAGGACAATGACTATCCATATAGAACCTCCACTTAGAGGGAAGTGTTAACATTTTATCATATTTACTTTTTCTTCACCCCATATGTGCATGACACTTCATCCTTAAGTATTTCAGCTTCTCTCTCTTAAGAACAAGGATATTGCTCTACATGTTGTGATATGACTATCATTTCTAAGAATATAATTGCCTAAGGTAGAATCCTTGCTCAAAAGTTCTCAATTGTCCCAACAGAATCTTTTTGTCTTTTCTAAAAAACAGGGTTTAATCAAGGTTCCTACATTACTTTTGATGTCTTTAGTCTCTTAGTTTGGAACAGCCCATAATTTTTTCCATGACACTTTTTGAAGAATCCCTGTCATCTGTCTTATAGAATGTCTTCTAGATTTGTTTGTTTTCTTAGGCCTATTTCTGACTCATCTATCTGTACAACCATAATAATCACCTCTGTGCCAATGACTCGTGACTACCTCCAGCCTTGACTGTCCTGTCTGGGTCTTTTCTTCATCCTTCATGTCTAATGCCCTGTTGCATGTCTCTTCTCTACTTCTATCTCCTGCTACGGAAGGTGTACGTCAACTCCGAGGCCCTGCTCTCCACCCAGTAACTAACACCGGTTGCTAAAAATGTAGCAGGCATATACTGTACATTTTGCATGTGTTGCCCTTATTCTCATAGCAGCTCTATGGAGAGGTATTAGTACTATGCACATTTTACTACTAAGGAAACTGAGATAGAGGATTAAGCAGCAGATCACAGCTGATTAGTAGTAGTGGAGCTGAATACAGGCCTTACCTCCACATGCCATGCTCCCAGCTGCTACATTGTCTCCTTTGTTAGCAGGAGCTGACACTTGTTTTCCTGCCCAGCTCCAACCCCATATAGAACAATCAGTGGCATTCCATGTACTGAGTATTTACCAAGTGTGCCAGGATTATGCTAAATGTGTTATAAGAATAATTGCATACCACATGGGAAGCCTATAAGGGTGCTTAAGCCCATTTTGTGGAGGATGAGACAAGTTTAGGGGAACAAAGTTCTTAGTACATAGCTACTTAGAGGCTAAGATTTGAATTCCAGTCTCTTTGGCTCTTAGGTCCCTGATTACTGAGTATATTTCTACAAAATATCACAACTTTCATCTGATGCCATATACCAAAAAGCTTAGGCCTCAATTATCTTTCATTGGGGGTTCATCTTCCCCATCCTTGTTTTCCCTCAATCCCCTTACCTGATGTTAAATTGGCCAAAGGAACTGCCCTAAGCCAACATTGATTATATCACTTTTCCTTCTCAAAGCATACCCGCTCCACACCCCCATCAAATTACCCATTAGCTATAAGCTTTGACTTTGCAGCTTACATTTAAAACCCCCACTCTGGTGCCAGTCTTATGTGTCCACTCCCCTACATCTAATGTAGCCTCCAGCCTAACAGACTCCTTATTCTTTCTCATGTGCCCTGGTCTTGCTACCTCTACGTCTATTGTTATCCTTCCCTCCACTAAGTCTCTGACCTCTGAGTATGAAAAATCCCACCCATTTTTCTAAGATCAAGCTCAAATTCAACTGTTTTTCATTAGAGATGATGCTTGTCTCTGCATCCTTAGCATTTTGCAACAAATAACCCTTAAAACAGAACCCTCCGGTATTAGATGGGGTTCTTGTTTTATCTCCCTTGCCAAACCTTGACCCCTTGAGGATTGTAATGGACTTCACTCATCTGACACCTACAGTGCCTTGCATATGATAGTTGCTCAATAAATATTTAATGCACTGAACCCACACAATGAGTTTAAGAATTTTTATGGTACAGTTCAGATAATTATGGATTTATCTTTAATTCTGAGATTTTGTAACAGAAATAAAAATAACCTAAAAAAGAAATAGCAGTAATAGTTTTTAAAAGCTGTTTAGTCAATAAAGATTTAGTTTAGTGTTAGTTATTGCGCTGATATCCAATCAACTACTCTAGCATGTCCTTATCAGGAATGGTTTTCTTAGAACTACCTTTTGTTTCACTATATGAATAACACAAATGCAATCTAGAAAGAAAAGGACTGTAGTCCTGTCACCTTGGTAAAACAACTGTAAACATTTTAGTATATTCTTTTGTCTTTTGCAGTTTTTACCTTTTATAATAGTGTAAGTTACTTCCCTTAAGTACTGAAATTTAACTTCTTTATGTGGGTAAGCTGAGTTGGAAGATATGAATTGACTTTCTAGAATAAGAAAAAAATCATCTGTAAAGTCACTCTTCTATTTCACCAATTGTTAGAAACATTACAATAAATCAAAGATTTAGAATCTTAGCTGCTCCCTCAAGAAAGCTATTGGGGATCTAAATAGCCCGTTGAGGGAAACAACAGAACAGTTGGTGTGACCGATGACTGAGTGCTGGTGTGACAGTTAAGGGACTTTCTTTTATACACTTCTTCGTTGTAATTTTTCTATACCAAGAATGAATTATTTTAATAAAGTAAAAATTGGCATCTTGCAACGGAAAAATCCTCACCATCAGTATTTAGCTTCCTTAGTGAAAATAAACAAAATCTCTAATACAAGGACTGATATAATCCCACTTCCAGAAAAACCTAGAAAGAAATGTAACCGTTGTCTAGTCCACCTCCATCATATGGAAAGCTGTAAATTTGTGTGATGATTGGATCCTGTTGACTAGGAAAGCCAGGTGTTGATGTGGGAGGGTTTGATCAAGCTTGTAGAATCAGATGTGAATTAAAATCTAAGCTTTCCATCAGGTTAGGTGTCAACTTGGTAACCACCTTAACTTGTCTAAACCTACTTTCCTTATCAGTAAAATAAGGACAATATATACCTTATGGGTTGTTTTAAGAACTAAGTAAGATATTTAGGCAAATTCCGACACATAGTTTAAACTCAAAAACTATTACCTTCTATTGCTCTTACCTGAATAGGAGCTTGAAACCAATTCAATGGACTCCAAAAAGAGTAGGATGGGATGATTCCTGAGTAGCCGTATGCAAACTACAAAAGCTTGCCTAGTCATTTTTCATGCTAGAACTTTTTTCTATCAGAACATAAATTTTATACCTGATTTACCAAATGACTCGCTACAGTCAAAATTCAGTATTACCTGTGACTGTAATCTGACAAATCTTACAAGTAAATATATCAAAATAAATATCCACCTAAGTACTTTTCCATTCAAAGTTGTCACCTTGAAGTACTATATAATAATCTCTCCAGGAAAGATTGTTGTTGAAAGTGTTATACATTAAGCTTAAGTAAAGGGGGCCTCCCTGGTGGCGAAGGTGGTTGAGCACAGCCCTGTGAAGCTGTCCGCAGCCTCTGCAGTGCTGGTTCGATCCCCACTGGCCTCGGAGCAACCCACATGGCGAGCAGACCTCTCTTGTCTCACCCGCTACTCCCCTCAGCAGTGTATTTCGTCAGTCTGCCTGTTCTGTTCCCCACTCTGTCTCCGGTGAATCCTCTCACCCTCACGTGCATCTGGCCTATACCCCGGTTCTTGTATAAATAAAAAAAAAAAAAAAACTTAAAAAAAAAGGTTAAGTAAAGGTAGCACAGTAATAGTAGAGATTAAAGCTCACTTTAGTGGGTTTATGATGTGAATGAATTCAGGTAGCACTGGGAGTCATTATATATTTTAACAGTATTAAATGTTTCTTTTTATGAAAACCTTAATTATGACATTCTCTGAAATCTGATTTCACAGTATTAAAATAAAGGCTTTAAGGAAAAACATTAAAAGCTAATGAAAGTTTATTATTTCAGTATATACTCTCCTGGGTCTTTGATCAAGATAAGTAATGATCAGATGAATGAGTTGGCAACCTTCCTGGCCTCTGAACTCTACTAGTAATTGGAAACTAAGCAACACATTATCACATGTTTAAGTACATCTAATAATATTCCACCAACTTCTCCCTGTCTTCTGCTTTCTAGGCAATGAATACTATGGCATTTTAATGAAGCTAGCTTTTCACTGAAAATTTTTGAAAGTCATTCTTGCTCAACAAAGAGAAGACATGGTATACCTCAATTCACATTGAGACTACTCCTCACCCTCCAGGGACTTTTTGATTTACATATACTTCACAATCTCTAATTTCCTATGACCTGATTGTTTTTTCTTTCTATACTTCAATAATCTACCTTTCAGATTTAAAATCTGCCTAAGCAGACGCTTGATATTGTTCTCAGTGAAATTGAGGAGGTACATAGCTAAATAAGGGGCTGCAGCTTCAGTAAGATTAACTGTTTTCTACATATCCTGAGTCCTAAAAAACATGACTAAAACTTTTTTGAAGGCAGAGCTTGTAAGATTCCCCTTAAAAGGTCTGGCTTAGAGACAGATCTGAAAATATTAAGAAAAAAAAAAAAATCCCTCCTTACTCTGACCCAAAAACTTTGGCTCTGAAAAAAACTTTGAAATGAACAGAAACAGAATACCCTTTTTGGAACTAGTAAGTCTTCATGTGACTTCTTGGCTTTTACTTCCTACCAAATATCTAAAAATAAATTCAAACTCCAGGGCCTCCCTGGTGGCGCAGCAGTTGAGCACTGGGCAGTGAAGCTGCCATCAAGCCTCTGCAGCGCTGGTTTGATCCCCGGCCGCCGGGCAAGAGACCCACATGGTGCGCAGACCTCTCCTGCCACCCGCTGCTCCCCTCAGCAGTGTATCATCAGTCTGCCTGTACTGTTTCCCGCTCTGGCTCTGGTGAATTCTCTCACCCTCCTGAGCTTCTGACTGTACCCAGTGCTTGTATAAATAAATAAATAAATCTTAAAAAAAAAAAATTCAAACTCCAAAAATGCAAGCAACCTTGTGCGATTTGTTTACTACTGTATCCTGAGTGTCTAGACTAGTGTCTGGCCTGTGTTACGTGCTTCATGGCTATTTGCTGAATGAATGCATGCTATTGAAAGATACATATATGAAATTACCTAAAATCCAGCTCTTCTTGGAGTTCTTTCTGCAACCCCCCAGCTCCCACAGGGGCCTACTGGATCTTCCCATTATTTCTCCAGATGGCTCCATGTCCAAAATCAAGCATAATCCATCTCTCCTTTGAGGGTCACCTACAAAGTCCCTCTTCTATCTTCTACCAACTTCCTGTTCACTAATATTAAGAAATTCAGCTCCTCAGTCTTCTTGTCCACTTCCATCTCCTATCAATAGCTCAGGGATATAAAACAACCATCTAGATACTGACCCCATTTTCCTTAACTTCAATAGCCATCTTACTCCAGAATTCTACTCCTACAATGGTGCCCTTGTTTTTGCTAACACAGCATAATACAACTAGTAATCACTAATATTTAAGAGCTTATTAGACACAGGACACTGTGCTCAGACCTTATTTCATTTAAACTTTCTAAAACTCCATGAAGACAGTAAGTACAGAGCTTTAAATGTTTAAAGGTGGGCCTCCCCGGTGGCGCAGCGGTTGAGCGCTGGGTTGCGAAGCTGCCCGCGGCCTCTGGGGCGCCGGTTCCATCCCCGGCTGCTCCCCGGCCACCGGAGGAGGGTCCCACATGGCGCGCAGACCTCTCCTGCCGCCCGCTGCTCCCCTCAGCAGTGTACTTCGGTCCTTCTGCCTGCTCTGTTCTCCGCTCTGGCTCTGGTGAATTCTCTCACCCTCCCGCGCTTCTGACTGTACCCAGTGCATGTATAAAAAACAAAAACAAACAAAATAAAGAAAGAAAGAAAACATGCCTCTATATAAAAAAAATAAATAAATAAATATTAAAAAAAAAATAAATGTTTAAAGGTCACTCAGCTCAGGAATGGTAAAATGATAACACAAACCCAAGTGAGTCAAGACTTTTCAGCCAGTGCTCTTAACCACCCCACTGGGATGGAAAGAATAAAAATATAAACCCCTGCTTGGTCATTGTGTCATGTGGGCTTTCTGACCTTGAGAAAAAATAAAATCCTTTCTAACCCTCTAATTCATAAAATACCGGAAGGAATAAAGAAGATATTAAGTATCCAGCACAGTGTCTGACATACCACATTGTGTTCTATCCATCCTAACACTTATTGAATACCTCCTAAGCGTCTAATCCAGTGGCAGGTACTGAAGATACAGCAAAGTTCCTATCTTCATAGGTCTGTACAGTAGCTAGTGGGTGCTCAATAAATACCTGATAGATGGAACAAACCCTCCAGGTTTGCCAGCCTCCACTCTGCCTCGCCTCAATTAGTCTGTTATAAAGCAATCTAATGAGGGCCCTTTCCTGATTAAAATCCTTCAGGGGATATCCTCTTTGCCAAAGAGAAAAAATCCATTTTTTTTTGACACAATATGCTAGAATGGCTGGAGTAGGTAAGTGGGTGGGTTCCCCTCACTACTGCCTCCTGCCTCTTCTATCGGCAGTGAAACCGTTTCATTATGAAATCTATTTGGAAGTATGAATTGTAAACCAGATCTGTGTAGACCTATTCTGGTAATGGCATGAAAAGCACAGTCACCATTTTGGCAACTTAACCCTTCCTTACCCCACCCCAAAACACACACACACTTGCAGCTCTTAGGACAATGCCATGGGTTCTGTCAAACAATGAATCTTAGGATCATTTTTTTTAACTGTAAGACACAACTCATTAGTGGATTATATAATCAATTCAGTCATTGGAATCAGTGATTTGGAAAACAAAAGTACGAGTGTATTATAAGAATAAGTATTGAGATATAAAACCTGTTATATATACATAAAAACTCATAGACTGAGCTATGATATAAACTGTATTTCTTATTGTAGTTCACAGACAAAAAGGCTTGAAAGCCATTGCTTTAGAGGTTCTCTGTTCTCAGTTCCTTCCATAATTCCTGAGTCATAACAAATTCTCTTCGTATCAAGCCTCTTGCAGTGAAAACCCATTTTGCTTTTCACTTCTATGCCTCTACATGTCAGACATGATGCTAGGCATATAATCATGAGAAAAACCAAGGTCACAGCACTTCAGGATCTATACAGTTATACGAATCACACTAATTATAACTATGAATCAAAATAAGTTGTTTAAATAAAAAAGATACACATTTTTAAGACTTTATCAAAGCAATTAGTCCAAGGAATATACTTGAAGAACTAGCAGAGAATTAAAGAATGTCAGAATTAACTGTGGAAAAGGGCAGAGGAAAAGCCTTCCATGTATAGCAGAATGTATGTGGCCCTGAGTTGAGAGAAAGCATGGCATCCTTGAGGAACTGGAAGTAAGCCAGTATGCTACAGTCCAGAAAGTAAACAGGAGAATACAAGAAAGCACTGGAAAAGTTGGAGTGGTTCAATCAGGCAGTGGTTCTTGTGGACCAGGATTTTGTTTTCTCTCCTCAGAGTAATGGAAAACTATGAGAAGATTTATTCGGATGACAAAATAGGAGCTGTAAAGGCACTGAGTGCAGTGTGGAACACAGGCTTGAGGCAGTAAGGAGTGACTGTGGGGAAACCAGTTAGAAGACTAATAGATTACAGTCCCAGTGAGTGGTGACAGTGAATTCATTTACTATACTGAAAATTAGAGGGGAGAGGAGCAAGGGTGGTGGAGGGGGAAATACAGGACTTCTCCTAGGTTTCTGGCTGGCACAACTGGATAAATGGTGCTGCTAGCTGAGAGAGTCAACTGGAAGACACCTGGGTTTAGTTCTAGATAAGTTGCATTTAGGGTGCCTTTGATTTGGGTATGTCTACTGGCTAAGACAGCCTGGAAGTCATAGGTAATAGATGGTAAATGAAACTGGGCATAAAAGAGAAGGCCTGAGATTAAGCCCTGAAGTCCTCACCAATTCGTGATGCTACATTTCTACTTATTGTAATTGTGTATGAATACAACACAATTATTCCTACTTTAAAGTTTAAACATAGGCTCCCTGGTGGCTCAAGGGGTTAAGATACAACCTATGAAGCTATCCATAGCCACTGCAGCACGAGTTTGATCCCTGGCCAAGGAGCAACTCATATGGCACAGCAGACCTCTCCTGACTCGCCTGCGGCTCCCCTCAGCTGTATATTTCTGTCAATCTGCCTGTTCTGTTCCCCACTCTGTCTCTGGTGAATCCTCTCACCGCCACCCCGCCACCTCTGGCCTGTACCCCAGTTCTTGAATGCATAAATAAATATTTTCAAAAAATAAAGCTTAAATATAGAAATAATAAAAAGTGAAAGTCTACTCACTCCTTGGGTAATTACAACTTGCTATGTGCCCTTAAAATGTTTTTAGTGGGTTTATATACACACATTTTCCCACAATCTGCTTTTCAAAATCAGCAATGTAGTGAGAATATTTTTCTGTATCCAGGTATAGACAGATCTATCTTACTCACCTGAATGACTACAAAGCCCTACACTGTAGGGCTGCATCACAATTTCATCAACCTGCCAGTCCCCACAGATAGTTGAGTGATATGGCAAGCAGTTACTTGTCTATTTAATATCCATCATCCACCCTCTGCCTTGCTCACTGAACCCTGCTTTTATTCCAACATGTTCAGTCCCAGGTAATGGTTTTCTGATTGGCTTAAGCCAGCCGAGACTAACCTGTTGCCCATCTTTTCACTTCCCTTGCAGCTCTGTGGTCATGTTATCGGGTTCTGACTAATGACCCTAAGGAGAAGTCTGCTGTGAGAGTTTCTGAGTAAGCTTTTGTTTTCCTGATATAAGTAGGTAATAACGAAGTAACACTAATATTTTTCTTTCCCCTTTCTTTCTGCTTTGGACATGAATATGATGA